ATGAATTGCCAGCTGCCCCTCGAGCCGTCATTAACTGATAGGCTATTTTCTTAACAGGCATCAAAAGCCAGAGTGAGCCTTTCAAGTGAGCTATGCTGAAGAAGCACACAGTGGCTGTACAGAACAGCACATACAGTTAGCTATACCTATAAAACACCAGCCACTGATCCCTTCAGGTGTTACTGCAACTACTGTAGTTTTAATACCTGCACAGTTTCATTCTCAACAGTTCCCTGGCACAGATGTAAGGCTGCTCCATCAGCACTCAGAGGGAGCTAATGGAAGGATTTCTATTTCTGCTGTACGAATTTCTGCTCCACGGATAACTTAAGTGAGGAATTCTTTTTTATGTCGAGGTTGGAGTAGGAGGTGATAGTTTGATTGAAGCCAGCAAGCTAAAAACTACGTGCACACATGTATCAGCAAACCCTTAACAACATCTCTTCCAACAACATGCAGCAACCTAAACAGCTGATACTAAACTATTTTTGATGATTCTAATGAGGCCCGAAATTTTTTAAAAGCAAAAAGGCACAATTTCTGCTAGGCAAAGACCATTTTTCCTCCAAAAAAATTAAAAAAATAAAAATTATTCCCTCAAATACATTACACAGACTGTCAGAAGTCAATAGGTTTTTTGAAACTGAGCCCTTTAATCTGGTTTGAAACACTTGGAGCCTGGATCTTTCGTTCATACGAACAGGCAAATTTCCCTTGAAGTCAGTTGTGCCGGTTCCTATCAGCTCAGAGAATCTCTGCTTTAGGATTACAGAAATGTTTAATTTTTTTAAGGGCACAGGGGAGACGGAGTAGCAAGTCCACAAGCTGTGGCCCTGCCTAAGTATCACTGTGCCATGCTGCTTTGCCATTGAAGGTCCAGCTTCAAGGCTGCAGATCTGTCAGTGACCAAACTTGATGGACCACCCATTGGCCTTTAATAAAACAGCACTTGTTCCACCTCTAATCCTATCACTAGAGTAATCAAAGCTGCCATGTCCCAGGGTTTGATGGAACAGCAGGACCTGGGAAACGAAGACTGATTTTGTTAACAAAGTAATTTCTGCCTGGTGAATGCTGTCTCATTGCTAGAAAGTAGGGAGACAGGGTTTATTTGTGCAGAGAATGAGGCGGTAAAGAAATGAAAGGGGAAGAATGGTGAAGTGTGAAGTTTAATCTGGCACAGTCTAAGATTTCTTTCTTTGAGGCTGTCTCTGATCCAATCAACACCGGTTTGATATTTAACATCTCCCCCTGCAGTTTGAAATGATACCGGCCAGAGAATAACTCAGAAAACCCGACTAGAGGAGGAAGAGAAAAGGGGCTGCTCACAGCTCCCCTCTGGCCTAAGATCTCCCTGACAGATCAATCAGGATAGTGAGACCCTACACAAAATAGCCCTTACAAACCCTGGGATTAGAGGCATCTGGCACTAGCTGCCGGCAGACTCTCCCTGCAGTCAAAACTTGCAACAGGATGGGAAAAAGTTTTTATTTTTAACTCCAAGGAAGGGACATTCACAATTTCTCAGCTGAGGATCTTGCTATAGGGAAGGCTTTGAGCTCCAGCTACCAGAGCCTGTTCCGCAGGGCAGAGCGGTCTGACTGTCAGTGGGGATGTCAGTTGAGGACACACAGCAGCTGCCAGCCAAGGACACGCAGCACCTGGGTTACGAGCAGTCCCTGCAGCCCATGGCCCACCATCTGCCCTCTGTGAGGGAAGGACTGTCAGAGGACACACAGACCCTTTCCCTTTAGCATCCTCCTCACTCAAACATCAGTGTGAGGAGATATTTTTCACCACAGAACTGTGCAAGGGTCTTAAAAAGGAGGAGGAATTTGGAGCATCTCGTAACCTCAAAGCCCACCTGGCCCATCCTGTGCTGGCTGCAGTGCCTCTGCCTAGGATCAAAGACAAGGCCCTGAATGAGCTCCATCTGCCTTGCCACCAGCTTTTCTCAGTCCTGGACCACTTTTTGCACTGTAAATAAGCAGCTATATTGTCAGATAGAAAAGTTATCTGCTGCTTCTTTCTGCATTTTTTAACTTTTTCTATCTTGCCTTCAACGAAACCCTGAAACCACTTCTACCAAGAAGTGCTGAAATTTCAATCTCACCTACATCCGACTTCAATTCTCCTGTTGTGAGGCTCCTAGCTGAACTCTTTGCTGCAATTTGGAAGCCTTGCCACCAGCAACAACACCCAGATTTGTGCCACCAGCAGCTGCAGAGACACAGGGGAAGAGCAAAGATGCTCCAGGAGTGTGAGCATCCCACTGCATTCCCAATGTGCAGTGGGAAAGCACAGCAACAGGAACAATGCACGTCTGGGAAAGCAGCTTCAAAACTCCCAGCAAAAACTCCAAGGGGGGTACAAAATCCCAAACTACAAAGTTTGGGGACTTACAACAAAAAACAATGCATTGTGCTCTTACCTGCAAGAGCTAGCTCTCCAGGAAGCAGCCAATTATATCAGCCACCTTAATCTTTTCATCCGGTTAAGACAATCAACATTTCAAAGCGACGCACAGAACGTTTCAAAGATCGTTCCTGGTCAAAAATGCAAGTGTATCCTCTTTCTTTCAGAGCAGATCAAAACCAAGCACCACACCGGGACCACTCCTAGATTTCTTCCTCCTCGCAGTATCAGATTAACAGATGCGGTGCGTGTAGTCAGATTAAATATTTGCAGTAGCACAAAGCTGCCTTTGAGGGGGAGAAGTAAAAAAGCCTTTTTCTTCTTTAATTTGCTAAGGGCAAAAATACTGGACTTTGGGGACGGGGGAAACAAAAGCACTGACACGGTTCAGCAAGGCTCCATTTTAAAACCTGAACTCTAAGTGCTGGAATTACAAGCAGTATCTCTGTAACAGTAATGCTGAAGACAGGTAAAAACTGCTGATGCCCTTAGCAGATTCAGGACCGTAATTTATCACAGCTGTTCCCATCAAACTGTGCAAACACCCTACAAGACAAAAGCTGCTTAATTTCTGATTTCCATTTTAGTGTGCTTTAATTATGTGTTGCTTAAGGAAGGCTCTAAGATATGGAATTAGGAGGTGAAACCTAGCAATAGCAATCCACTCCACTGAATTAGCACAGTAATACAGCGAGCAGTAGGACTGCCAGACAGCATGATAACTTTACAAATTACTATTGTTAGCCAACCCGCCAGGTGTCAGGATGCATGAAATCTCGAGGAAGCGAGAAAATAAATAACTGGGTGGTTTTGCTTAATGTTGTCTCATGGTGTTCTGGTGGCCTTGTTCCCAGAAAAAGCTTCAGTGTATGAAAAATGCCCCAAATGCCAACGCACAGAAGTAGCAATGTCAATTCTCTGCAATAATTACAATGTAATTTTTTGTATTGACTAAGATTTTTTTGCATAGATAATTTGCCTTTACTTGCTGGTAGCACTGACACTTTGGCTGCTCTTTTCTAGCCTAAATTGAAGGGGAAACTTTTGTTTCTGCTTAAAACATAGCAAATAAGAGTAAAACAAAGTTATGGTGAGAGCAGCTGTTGAGTGTGATACTCTCTCCCTTTTCCTGTCCCTCTCACTGCTCTCACCTAAAAAGAGTGCAGTATGATTCATTTCTAAAAGGTTTCCCAAAGGTACATCTTTAATCAAGTGCTTTCACTTGCTTGATTCTAACTTCCATTTCTGACCTATATAACCACATGCTACTGGATGTTTGCAGTGGTTAATTATTTTTACCTCACCTTGAAGAAGGAGTTCAGCAGCAAGTATAGGCACTGACACCTTTTAAACAGAAGAAAGTAAAACAAATTCCTTGCTTTGCATGCATGCTAAACAATGCAAACACTCAGGGGGCTTTTTAGATTTTTTTTTTAATCCTTCTTGTAATTACCCCAAAACTGTATGCAACCAATCTTCTCCTATGCCTGTCCACAGGCAGAATTAGTCCTCTAGCTGAGAACATGAGATGAATCATATGTAAGTGTAAGCTGCACTCTTCAGAGAGTCCCCACTACAGGGGAGAAGACACTCTAAGGACATTTAATCACACCAAAGATCAGCCTTTAATCCTTACTTGCACATCACCAAGAATTCTTTTGCTCAAACTAGGACAGTAAGATACAGCTGGAAAGAGCTGATTTAAAATTAATGCTGAAAGGAAGGCTAAAAATGAAATACTGTAACCGTAACTGACACCATTTTAAATTTCCTCTGGATTATTTGTTTTCTTCCACACACATTCATTTCCTGAATTTCTAGTAAATCTGATTTCGTATAAACAGTTTCACAAAGCAAAGTCAATAGCCGTGCCTGTGCTCCTGATTAATCCACTGAAATGAAATAGACCTTATGGCTTAGTATTTGGTTGTTTAAAGCTAAATCCACTGAAAAAATTCTGGAGTCCAGTTTCACCAATAACTTTTGTTTCTTAATCTACATCCTTTTCTTTCTTTTTTTTTCTGAACTTTACCTGTTCTAAAATGAAAAAAGTCCATACGGACTGAGCATTTAATTTCCCCCAGACCACAAGGACAACGTGTGCCCATTTCTTCTGACCCACAGTAACTATTAAAAGACAACCAACAGTTTGCACATACTTAAATCCATTTGAACAATTGCTGAATTTCTATTTCCATTGTTCATGCTTTATCCTCTTCGTGACAAGCACTGCAGAGCTGCTTTATTTAAAAACAAACAAACAAAAAAGCACTTTTTACTCCACTCCAGCTGAGGAGAGGCGTGGAAGCTTCCCTCGCAAGTGACAAGCCAGTGGACACACACATTCACACCCTGCACATTTGCCTCTCCAATAAATAATAGACAAGATAGATGCACAGCGCTTGCTGGGCACATCACAGCCTCTCTGAACGCAGCACGACGGAGATCCAGCAGCCCAATGCAAAGGCCCACACTGCAACACACCTCACCGCAACAGGTTTCAGGTTCACCTCAGTAAAGCAACTGAAATAGGAGAGTGGCTGCAACCTCCTGGAACAAGCCACGAGGCCCAGAAGCCTCCTTACCTGGGAGAAGTTGAGCCCGTTCAGCGGGTGACACTGCTCCTCCACCCTCTCCACCGCGCCCGTCGTCTTCTTCATCCTCTCAGCCTCCTGGGCGAGGTAGAGATCAAGCACCGGCACTCCTCGGGAGCGGATGTCGGTCTCTGTCAAGGAGTTCACCATCAGCATCACCCAGACGGGCCTCTTGCGCTCCCAGTTGCCGGCGATGGCGTTGAAGAGGTAGTCAGCGTAGAGCCCTTTGCCCCGCTGGTCCGGGGTCATCCAGTGGGGCAGCATCAGCTTGATGTAGTCCAGGTGGCGTTTGAGGCGGCGGTAAAGCTCACGGGGCAGCACGTCCTGCAGGTTCTCCCCGTGGGGCAGCATCTGGCAGCTGGCCAGCCCCGAGATGGTGTAGGGGTCGGTGAGATCCAGCTCGAAGTAGACGCTGGAGCTGGCGTGGAAAGCGGCCTTAGAGTTGTCGGGGATGAAATCCCACACCCGCGTGTAGGGCACGTGGATGGTGCCGAAGAGATAGGCGGGGGGGTCGCGGCGGATGGTCCAGAGGAAGGAGTTCAGCTCTCCTTGCTGAGGGGAAGGAAAGCAGAGGACAGTCAGTGGCGGAGGGTCAAGAGCCACTGCAACAAGAACGAGCGACCCACGGGTGGCAGGGAACGCTGGGGGACCGTCCAGCACAGCCCCAGAGCAACACGAGCGCTCCATACCCACGCTATCCACACACACACACCCCCCACCAGCACACCGCACCCCTCACACGGGGCACCCGCGCACACCTGCGGGGCCACGCGTGTCCGCGGCGCCGCGTGGGGCAGCGCCTCCCCCGCGCCCCTCTCCGCCCCCCCCGGCTCCGCGCGGCCCGGCTCACCGAGCGGGGCAGGTCGCACTGCCCCGTGTCCATCTGCTCCCGCCGGGCCGCGGCGTCGGGCAGGAAACCCCCGAAGACGAAGCAGATCAGCGTCAGGTTGAGTTGCATCCCGCTTCCTCTCGCTCTCCTCTCCTCTCTCTCCTTCCCAGATGAGCCTTTTTGGATTTCTAGGATCTTTTTTTTTTTTTTTTTCCCTCCCCCTCCTCCTGCTCTTCCCCCTTTTTTTTTTTTTTTTTCTCTTTTTTGTTGCTTTTTCTTTTTTTTCTTTTTTTTTTTTTTATTCAAACAAACTTTGCCAGTCCCATCTGCATCTGACAAGTGCAGGGGGAAGGACTGGCCGCCCCCTCCCTCCCATGCTCTCCCCCCTCCCGCCCTTCCCACCCCCACCCCCTCTGGCTCCGGGCTTGTCAGAGGCGCTGGATGCTTTGGGGAGGACGGTTCTCATCGCCAGCCTCCGCCATGCTTTGATTTTGCAGACTGGAGAAGCTCCCTTCCCGCCCCGCCGGTTCGGGAGGAGGTTGGGAGGGGAGGCGGGAATTAGCCAAAATAATAATAATAATAGTAATTAAAAAAAAAAAAAAAAGAAAAAAAAAAGAAAAAAAAATTCAGCACAGCGGCGGCAAAGAGAAGCTCCCGCGGAGCCCCGGGCCCGGAGGACGCTGCTCGGCGGGGCGGCGGCGCGCACCGCGCCGGGGAGGCCAAACTCGGGCTGCGGCGGAAAGTTTCGCGCAGCCGCCCCGGCCCGCCCGCGCCTCCCGCCGCCGTTTGGCCGGGCCGCCGCCAGGGGGCGATCGCTCCCCAGCGCAGCTGACGGAGGGGCGGTGGCGTCCCGCTCGCCGGCTCAGCACCTGTGTAGCGCTTCCAAAGCGGAGTTTCGAGCTTCCCGTCCCGCACGGCGTCACACAGTCACCCACGGGGGCTCTTCCCGAGCAGGAACGTCTCCTGAGGTTGCTCACAGCCTTCCGCTGGCTGCCGAGGCGGGAGGCACTGCCTTCCCCCCCCCCCCCCCCCCCCAGAACATCACTGTAGCAGAGGGCACATAGAGGATATGCTGGCTGCACCCCGCCCAGCTTCTCAGCCATCCCCACCATCTCGGTCACCTCAGCACCTCACAGGGATCAAAGCAAACCCCTCTGAACGGTTCTGTTCACATCACTAATTATGCAGCTTCCACGCAGGAGGAAGTTGCAGGACGCAGGCTAGTTCTTGCTGGCAGCACAGCCAGAATCTCTCTTTAGAAGCCCCTGCAGCAGGAACCAGGGCAGGCTGGTGATGTGTGGTAGTAACCATTGGTTACCTCAGCATCCTATCAGGGCACTAAGCACCACAGAGCAGACGGGATCCCAGCCTTCCCATCACCTCTATGACCATAAAACTTCCCCAAAACTGCAAAATTTCATGCTGTTTGGAGAAGAATCAAAGCTACCAGGCTTTCTTGGTGAAATATTAGTTGCTAGTGCCAGGCAAGGTCCTGGGCTCCAGAAGCTTTCCTGGCCATGGCAAAGAAATATTTCCAAGTGCTTCCCTGAGAGTGAAATAGAGGATAGGAGGCAGCAAGGTTGCAAAGTGCATGGATGACAGGGCAGTGCTGGTGGCCTGGTGTCCCCTGGGACACCTCCAGTGTTGTGACTGGCACTGGAGAAGATGCCCAAAAGATGATCTGAAAGACAACATGAGGCCTTCAGTCATGGACACGCGTGCCGTGAGGCAGGGCGACTACCCTCACCGGTGGCATACATATCAAAGCACCCAGAGCAAGAATAAACAAAAGTCTTTGGCTCTGTGCTCATCTTCCATTAGCCAAAAGGCAGGTGTGGTTGGGGGGAGGGGGACATAGCCAGTTTTCCAGCCGTTTCCCTGAACTCAACCCTGATGTTGCAAGAGCTGCCTAGCTGTGAAAACACAGCCTCGCCTTGATTTATGCTACTTGTGGGCAAGATGACTAACAAAAAGGGGAAAGAAAAAAAAAAAAAAAAGAGCAGAACAGGACCAGAAATCCCAATGGGAACTCAGTGTGGGTGTGTACCAATTTGGTGGGACAGTCAGGTTGGGGAAACTCCAGCCAAAGCTGCGAGCGGTTAGGAAGAAGAGACCACAAACCACATGATATGTATCATGATGTGCCACTTAAGATTCAAAGCATGCCACAGCATTTTTGAACATTACTCTTAGGTACCAGGAAAAAGAAATTAATTCTTTTGTGTAATTGTAACAATTTTTTTTTTTCTCCTTCAGATGAGTTCCATATGTCCTCATGATTTTTTTTTTTTCCTTTAAACACAGCAGTTTAGAACAAATCTTAAGTAATATTTAGCCTGCTCCTAAAGTAAATATTTACAAAAACATTACATAATGGTTCTGATCTTTGGAAAATGTATATTGCTGCCTACCTGCTACTGTTTTGTTCCTATCGGGAATAATAGAGAAGCTTTATCATAACCCCCAAGGCCATAAAAGCAGTTTAACAATGTTATTAGCAGTAATCAGATGGGAAATACTATTAAAAGCTTTGAAGAGATAAGAGGGATAAGTGGCAAAGGGAAGGTTATGTTATTTTGTTTGTACAAATTTCCAGAAATCTAGTGGGGGAAATAGGCTTCTAATCTCACAAAAGCTGTATTGTTTTTTGGGAAGCGTTATAGTGTTGTCTGATATTTATGTCATGTATCATCTTCAAAGAGCTTTCCTGAATAAATGTTAATCATTTCAGCAACCACTTAAAGGCAACCACTTCAGGGGTGCAGCGAGGCAGTAACTTAACAAGTAAGTTGAAGTAAGTCAGGAAGTGAGGACAGCCAGATTCAGCAAGGAGCCCATGTGGGCACAAAAAATACTTGTGGAAGCTTTAACAATATCTTTGATCAGGCAAAGCAAAACCCCATGGAATAGAAAGCATATTTATTTGTTAGTGAGAAACTGGCATTGGAACTCGTAACTATGGTGAGTTTCCAACAGGCAAGAGATACTGGCTCTTGGAGAAAACAGTTTGTGAAGGATCAGTGTCTATGTGCAGGAGAGTGTAATTCTTTTTTATTTCTTAAATCAGAACATGCTCCTTACAGGACTAACTACCCTTTTGTCTCTTCTCTCACCTTTACTCCCAGGTGAAATACTGTTGGCTTGTGTGCTGTCTGTATTTCTATCATGCTGTACTTTCTATTGAAGTATTTCAAAGAACTTACTGGATTATAAACTCTATTTCTTGCACCTTTTCTTGAATGAGGGACTCTGAACCACACATTCTCCCAGAAATTGTGCTGTGCCAAAACTGGAAGTCTGAGCTCCGCTTTTCCTTCGTCCTTTTCCTACAAGTGAAGCTGGAGGTGTCTTTTGCCATCTCTGGTGGGAGCAGAAAATCCCTCTTTTTGTATGCTGCGAATCACAGAATAATTTCAGTTCTAAGGCATGTCAAGAGCAATGTCATCCAAATGGCCTTGCTCAAAGAAGGGTTAGACTCCATATCTGATCAGGTTGCTGAGGTACAAGTAAGAACTCTAATTGGATTTCTGTCTTGTGCACAGGTGGCATAATATGTAGCTGCCCTGAACTCATAAGTTAACAAGCCCAAAGCATTTGCACTGCTAGCTGTCATGCCATCACCTATGTGCCATGACACCCGTGCTGTGAGGCATCTAGCAGGTACAGATTTTCCTGCAGAAGATTGATTTTGATGGTAGCAGTTGTATTCATGTGTAACATCACTGTTCAGTCATGTAATTCATGATTCAAAACACACAGTTGTCAGAAGAACAAGCCTCTGCTTAAGGCTGTCTGTTCAATTATCGTAACTGGGTTAACATGCTTTACATCTTGTTTGTATTGCAACCAATATATGATGTAGTATTGTTCTCAGTCTTGTATGTGTTATATGTGTATATATGTTGCCTGTTTGTCCTCATGTATCCAACTCAGCATCTTTTGTCTCAGAGTTCCACAAACAACCAAATCTAGCTCTTGAACAAAATCCCCCTCGATCCTAACATCCTCCCATCTGAGGGCCAGGTATGAATTTTGCAGACCAACTAGTATTAATAGCTTGTATTACATTTTGCAAAGTCTCACCTTGTGCTGTGGCCCCTGCAATGACAGACCACATCCTGTCTGAGACTAGGCACGTAAATACACTAAAGAAAACCTTTCTCAGTGTTAGATTCCACTGTGCATTCTCCCTCCGTATAAAGTTTAGTCTGTGCTGGTGTATGTATATAATGCAAGCATTACATGTGCATACACCTAGGAAAGAGTACATATGTGTATTTATTTATATATATTGTGTTTACATACGAAAATATATGTATACACACAAACAGTACAGTGGGATAGGCGAGTGCTATTAACACTTCACTAAATGCTTTCCAGCTTTTGTTCTCTCATTCTCTTAAAGATATTCTGGATTTGGGCCAGCAGGGGCAGAAAGAACCTGCCCTGCTGTGCTTCTACTACAAGTACGGTGAATCCTGGCTTTTTGAGACCTTCCATCTGCAACTTGAGCCCTTGCATTACTGTCCCATCCCTTAAACATATTAAATCATAGAGATGCTGAAAGAAATGTCCAAAAGCAACTCATCTACCCAAGCAGGAGTAAGCTCCCTGCTGCGTAGCAAAATCTGTACTCAAGAAACAGCTACAATAGATCTTTTTCCTTGAGGCCTATTAAGCTGAGATTTCTTCCTGTTCAGCATAGTTCAATGTGGACTTCCAGAAGTTCTATTTAATTTCATAAACAGTTTGAATGCCTTTTTTTTTTTTTTTTTTTTTTTTGGAGAAAAATGAGAGTTCAGCTGTTCCAGAGTCCTTTAAGGTTCAACTCTTTAGCATTCATTTTGTTTTTCTGGTTTCCAGATTGCCATCACTTTCTACAGCCTTGATACAATTTTAGGTTTGCTAGTGCGTATTGATGAGAAGTCTGAGAGAAGTTTTATTAGCAGGGACGATTCTTCATTATAAAAAAGATAAACCAGCCTTCCAAGATGCACTTCTGAAGGAAGATTCTATGTGTGACTTTAATTCTTTTAACCCAGGGAAGAATAACCCAAAAAATTGCAATTAACACAGTGTGTGTGTGTGACTAGAACAGCTGGTTTACTAATAGCGTACCTGGTGGAGAATCTTAAAACATGCATTGTGTGCATGAAAATGTGATTCAGTTTAAAAACTGTTTTTTTTTTTTTTCCTCCTTTTGGAACTGGTGGAATATGGTGCACTTCTGTTGTATGTGTGTGTATGGGCCTGCTCCTTATTAAACTCATGGTACTTTTTCCAGTAACCACTTCAGTGCTGTGAATCAGCAGAAAAACACCATCTGTCGACTGGGTAAACAAGAGTCTCATTAGCTGGAAGCTTAATAGATCACAAAGTCTCACCAAGTCCATTTTTATTATAATAAATTTCACCATGGAATGTTTTCTGATGTCACATGGCAGAACTGCCCTAAGTAAATAGCAGCTGCAGCATTTTCTATTATTTATCTTAGTGTTTTGTGAGCTTAACAATAGAAGCTGTCCAGGATCTGAACTTCTCTAATCTCAAAGTGCTATATGTGTGTCTGTGTGCTTAGTTTAATGTATCTTAAGCAAGTAGGCTTATAAGAGAGCTCATCCAGCCAGATGCAGCTTAAGTCAGTTGGATATCCATCATCCAAACCTGATCTCCATATCACTTAAGAGTAGACAGTATGGCTAGAGCTCAGAAATAACTGCCAACCTCATTTGATCCACCTTACGCCCAAACTATTTTCAGATACATTTTCCATAAACTTACATATTTGGGAAATGCTATACATTACATATACCTAATGTATGTGCACATATATATTTGCATTCTAATATCATATGTAGTATAGTAGATGTAGCAGTGGAAGGCATAACAAACTAGCAGAGCATCAAAGTCTAAAGCTACAGAGAGTAAGGAGAGGCTCAGATGTAACAGCAAAATACACAGAAACAAAGAAAGGAGAGGAACCAACCAACCAACCAACCAACCAACCAACCAACCAACCAACCAACCAACCAACCAACCAACCAACCAACCAACCAACCAACCAACCTTCTGCTTACCCTTAGAAGACCTCAGGTACATAACAACCTCCAGAGAGATACCCTTACCTCCCTTGCGAACCCTTAAATGAGGTCTGGAAAGGGCTGGATCCTGGCTCCACCCCTTCTAGTCACTCAGCTGCATTGCATGCACCTGAGCTTCCCTGGGTTGGCCCTGCCTTCCCACCAGGTGCTCCATCACTGCTTCAAGCTGTGACTTAGCATTTCCACTATAGCTATATATTATATATCCTACTATATTATTTTGTACATTGATATTTCCCATGTTGGAGATTTAAAGCATCAACAATAATAACTTGAGTCTTTCCTTTCTGTCCTATTCCAATTTTCCTGAGCAGAAGATGGGGCCTACTGTCAGATCCTAGGAAAATTCTTCCAATAATGGCCACTTTCTCATTCCTAAACTATGGCATTCCTCAGGCATGGTCTAGCTGATCTCCCCATAAAAGTGACTGGACTCTTCAGCCACCAAGTTTCACTAAGGTGCTCTCTTATCTTCAGAGAAGGGTCATTCAGACTCCCTGCCATTTCAGAACAAACACAGGCAATGTTTCCAAGAGTATATTTGAGTCTAAGATCCATCCTGCATGAGACTGCAGTTAAGACTGTACCAGTTCACATGATAGCACAGAAGGAGCAATCCTGCCTGGCTGCCTCCTGCATGGCTACCAGATGCCTTTTTGGATCTATCATCTGCATACTGTGTTTTAGTAACTGTCCAGAACAATGTATGCTCTTGTTCCCTGCATCTGTATGTAAAGCTTCCATACGATCCAAAGCCCACTAAAAACAGCGAATAATAGATTTGCTTAAGAAGTTACAAAATGAGAGATCACTAGACCAAGGAGAACTCCTGGGTGTGGTGACAGTCCTTAAGACTGCTAGTTTGTGCCAGCATGGCAGCAATGCTTTTGCAGGGTTGCCACAGAAATGGTTTTCCTCCTAGGTCTAAATCACAGCCTGTGGCAGTGTTTCCTGATAAATGGGCTGCTGGAGCCACTGCAGCCACTATGTGTTATCCTCTTTGTACACAGTCATATAGACCACCTGCTGTCTCCTAAGAAAAGATAGTGGTGTTTAGAAGACGCCTCTCCTTGTTGTGCCCCTCATCCTTTCCTACAAGAGAAAATGGCAAAGAGCTTTTCAATACCTGTATTATTCTTGTAACTGCCAGTTCTCTGTCCAAATCCCTGAACATAACTTTGCCCTGTCTTTGTGAAGTTTCAGGTAAGGAGCAGGACATGTGTATCTGTTATACATCCACTCAAATAGCATGGCAAAGTTGTCTTAAATGTTTCTTCCACCTAGAGACAACTTCTGGTTTGATTAAAACATGTAAATGTATTTAATCATGAGAAAGAAGCAGATCATAGTGGTCTTCTGTGTTGTTGGTTTTTTTTTTTTCCCTCCTACATAAGTCAAAGTGGCTTATATATGTGAGATCCAGCTGTGCTTGCTCACATCTCTGATACTCAGACTGTACTTTGAAGCTACTCCTGCCCTGAAATCACACTGTGTATATCCATTACAAGCTGTAGGGAAGAATTAATCAAATAAAACCTGCTGCTAAGCTAAAGCATATCACAACTTACCTCTCTCTTCTTACATATCTTATGATTATTGCAGAATTGTAAAGTCCCTTTTTTGTTTCTTTGAAGCAAATTTACAATAGCCCCAGTAATTCCTCTGCACTTGAGAAGAAGTAAACCTTTTCCACTGCTGCAAGTCTCTAAAATGTCTACAAGGGGTCCTCTGCTAAGCTCTGTCCTCGTGGTTAGCAGACATTAGCTGTGAACTGGAAGTTAGCTGGGTCACCTTTTATCTGTGTGCTGATGGGGTAACAATATCAGTTCATTTCAGATGTTATAATTTTAAGATCTTTTTTTAAATGGCAGTAGTTTTTCCAAACATTTTCAGCACACAAAGAGAAAATAGTGTCGGTGTTTTGAAAGTATATTTACGATGTATTGTTGGTCCCCATTTATATCAATCTCGTTCAACTTGCCTGCATGAGAAGTTAGGCTAGTTTCTCCTGATGTTTACTTTGGTCTTCTGGAAAGCAACAAGGAAGCAGGAGGGGAAAAAGAACAGATAAAGAAAAGTATCATAAATTGACAAGAGGAATGAGTTCTTCTCACTTTTTCGGAAACTAACTTTACTTTCGTATGCAAGCGGATCTTGCAGGCAATGTAAAAGCTGAGCTTTGCTTTCTGAGCACATCCTTTTATTGAATCTCTACCCATCAGTGCCTAGCCCTGGTGCATAGCCCTGTGATGTTCGTTTCTCCATAAACACAAAACACAAGAAATTATTCTGTGTGTATTTTTGTCAAAATCAAAGAAATATAGCCACAATAATCAGAAACGTTTTCAGTGTGAAGTAAAAGAAAAGTCTTTCTTTTCAGAAACAAGAAGTTATGACTACTTAAATTTCACTAGGATGATGTTCATTGGGATCATCAGTCATAATTTTTTCTGTTTTTATTAACTTACACATACACACAAAAAATGCCTTTCATGGATGAAAAATATCTTGCTTATTCACAAGCCTCGTAGAAATAAACATTATTTTATATGTATGTACTGCTAGCAGCGAGGATTTTATTTTTCAAGCAATGTGCCAAGTTTTCATTAGTCAAAGTGTGAAAAATCCCATTTGCTCTGTTTTGGAGAGTTCATACTGCAAGCATTTAGAGAGTAATTTACTGATCTTTCAATCAGTGAAGAAAGGATCACCCTGGGACTTGGCCAGCCAAGTGGAGCTCAAGGGTTGTACTTTTAATCCTCAGCTTCTTAACCCTCCCTTTGCTTGACTTTGGGCAAACTGCTTCATTTGTCCTCATCTTGAATGCCCACAGACAAGGAGTAGGCTTTCCAATCATTAATTTGTTCAGGAGTATAAAGTTAATATATATCAGATGCTAATACAGCAATAGCCATTGGTCAGACCCTTCAAGCTTGCCATCTAGATAAATGGAGGCAATCCATGGTCTGAATATAAGTTTTGAACAAGCTCCAGAGCACAACTGGGGCGAATCTTTGGTTTCACTCTACAGCATCACACAAAACTAAGAAGACATTTCTGTGTACTTAGATCTCTTTCTGTTTGGAGTCCAGGTCTTTTCATCCCAAGCCTACTTTGTTTGAGGGGTGATAAAGAGAGAAAAGCACTGCAGTGTGCTCTCTGAAGAGGCCACTTAAGAGGCAGTAAGGAATCATGGGGTAAGTAGAGCTATCAGGGACTGGCTTTAGTTTGATGGATTTAACTCCATGAAGTTGTGTAGAGATACCATGAGTACATAAACAGAACATGAGCATGAGGTGTTGTTCATACCTATGCTGGGGACTTGTTTCCCATATTCCCCTGTGTAAAACAGGAAAAGCATAAAAGCCAACATGAGTAAGATCAAACCCTCAGCTTATTCAGACATAAAATATTCCCTGAGTCCCCAGAGTTACATGAGCTAGACCTAGGAGACTGCTTTCTTTCTCAGAAATGATGTTGCCAAGTTCTGGACAGAATTTACAGAACAAATCTCTTGGTATTGTAATTCATTGCAAAGGAGACCTAAGTTTATCAGCTGAATTATAGATGATGGAGCCTTATATCAATTCTTTACATGTCCTTTTTGGCTTTTTTGTTGTGTGCGTGTTCCTTCTCTGTCCTCATCAAGGTGCCTAATGAAAGACTTAAATCCATTTTCACCCTCTTTAGAGGCACCAACAATAAAGCAAATGAAATATTAGTCTTTCTGAGTAGTAAATTTACAGCAAACAATAACAAATCCATGAGAATTTGTATGGCCTTTTGCCAAAGAAACCAAGGATTTGAATCTGTATACTGAAAAATATATGCATATCTATTCTGGTGTTTAAGGAACTGTGGGAAATGCTTTTTTTTTTTTAAGGGAAAAGGGAGGAAAGTAGCTAAAATCACCTACAACCCTCCTTTTAAAATCTAAAAGTCATCAGAAGGCTCCATCTTTATGAAAACTTTCTAATGCCTTTATCTCTCTCTTTAACTATCTGAGGTAATGAAGGTATGACAAGAATGAAAGCTTCATACAATCAAGCAGGCAAGATTCCTACTGTTCATGGGACAGTGACCCAAAGCTCAGTGTTAGTGCTGAGATAAGAACTACAAGCCTTACCAGATCCTCTCCTGAAGGAGCCACGGAAGATGGTGAGATATTTCCTTCTTTTGAACTGTGACAACATGTATCAGCACTCATGAAACTGAACTGCACCTGGTCTCTTGCAGATTGCTCATTTTCTTTTGATAGTAGTCGTCTTGCTGCCCAAAATGCAATGTGTTATCCTTTCAGTAATCTGCATGTTCATCAGCTAACTGTTCCATTGGATTTAGTTTACTCCTTCTATTCTTCCTTGGTTACTTTTCTTGTGCCTTGGTCATATTCACAGTAGAGTAAATGAGATACCAATATCAAACCAACCCAGAGCCTACTGAGATTTCCTTCTCTAGACTTGAAGAAGTGTTCTGAGAAACCTCTTGAGAATGATGACTTGCTACTGCAGTCTTTTTTTTCCTTTGTATTTTCCAGGCAGCTCTGGACTGCGTGGCTCAGTGGGTACGGGAACCTACCAGATCTCTAAATGGGCACAGTTGTGGATCATGTCTTTTACTAAGCTTGCTCTGATATTTTTGGTAAATTCTCGCGATGTCCTCTCCAATTCTCATTTGGCTATGCATGTGGAAGTCTTCACACGTGTCTGCAGTCAAATGCTAGCCATGTTTTCAATCAACACAATTCATTTTTTAAATTATGGCTGTGAGAGTTTTCAGGTTGTGCTGACGAGCCCGGTACTTTTTAAAAAAAAAGCCTCAGACCAGTGTGTTTTGGGGAGGAGAGAGAAAGTGACATCCATTCTGGGAAGGAAGAAGCAAGAATACCATGATCTGGCAGCCTGGTCTGTGTTTGCTCCAGTGATGCATTGCCATGTGCTCTTTGGTAACGCTGCCCTTTCCGTGCCACATGTGGATTGTCAGATGAGGAAGCTTGGCCCAAAATAAAAGCCAGGCTGCTTTTCATCTCTGGGATTTGTTTGTGCCAAGCGAACAAAGTGACTTCTTTGTGGCTGTTTGCATTTGTCGTTCCAAGTTGTCTGAGCACGAGGTTATAAATACGCACCAGGGTTTGATAGCCTCAATATGTCCAGTCGGACAAGCCTTGCGTGCTGGCAAGAGAAGGATTTGGCTTGCCTTAATTATTTTTGTTTTAATAGTTTTTAAAATGTTTGATATAAATCAAAGATACTGTAAATAAAACTCATGAGGACGGGGTTCCTCCCTTAGCCATTTTGTAGATTGGGTTTCTGACCTGTGATTATTGGCGAACTTTCTGTTTCATATTTGTATTCTTTGCAGTCATGTATGTAAAGGGATGCTGTCAAGTTAGGTATGTAATGTAATGTCAGTGACATTCTTAGATTGCTTTTCGTACGGAAATGAAATGATGTCAGTATTCTATCAACTTACCTCCTCTTTGAGGAGATGCAAAGTATGAGAGGAACGTGAGGCGCTGAGTTGTTCTGAGCTGTGCCTTAGGACTGCTAATAGCCAAGGCTGCTGCCCTGGGCTGGTGACAAGAAGGCCCATTAATCAGCAGTGACTGAGCAGTCTGGGGTAAATCCTGAGCCTTGGGGACTGTTAGCCAAATCCTGACTGCTTCATTTGGGAATGTTCAACTCACTCGACTTGATTTTTTTCTGTGCTCACCCTCAGCCCCCACCGCTGAAAAGTAATACTGGTGAAAAGTGCCTCATTGGGAATATAATTTTATGGAAAACGTTTTATTTTTGTATCCAAATCTTCCACTCAGTGTAGGGTTTTCCATTTGCTTTTAGCAAAGGCTGTTTTTCACTATTTTTCTTGTCCAAAATTCTTATTAAGAAACTGAATGCTTTTACCAAAAATGGGCATCTTTTCCTTCTCCTTCACCCCCTTCTCCATGCACAACATCCTTCAGACCCCTGAAAACAATCTAATTGAAAGAAAGCACATTTCTGTTAAAAATTTCCCATGGAAATGATTTTGTTGTGGTTAATGTCTGTTCTGTCTCTCTTCTGTCTGGAGCTGGAAGAAAATTCCTCAAAATCATTATCAGCCAGTGCATCTCTATAGCCTGAATGAACTTCTAAACATCTCATTTATTCCTTAATGGAACAATCCAGAAACCATAGCTGTGGTCTCTGGCTTATTTGTAATTTGCATACTGAAATAGATATTTGAACAGTGATTTGGAAATCGAAAATTGGTCAAAGATCTCACAACTTTTAAGACTTGTGTCAAAGAAAATGCACTTACTGGTTGCAGCAATATGCTGTGCATTGTATGTATGCATACACCCTTATATATATGTGTGTGTGTGCGTGTATCTAATAAGTACATACAGTTGGAAGTGAAAGATCATGGGATAAGTTTTGTATGCTGAATTTTAGTGTTTCTTGGTATATTAAGCTTCATCCTGAGAGCAGTGACCACCCTAGGCAGGAGGCAAATGGGCCCAGGTCTGTTTTATGCAGTGCATGTTTCTTTTTTTGCATCCTCGTGCAAAAAGAAACTACAGTGCCCTGTACATGTGTGATAGCACAGGAAGATGCATGCTGTATCTGTGTGGACTGAGTGGACTGAAATGGGCAGATTCAACCTGCTGCAGACCTTTCTAATGTAGTATGAATGAGTACTTATAGAATCTGGCCCACACGTGAGAATAGATGCTTGGATATGTGTCCCTTTGCAAATGCAGTCTGTGGCAATGGGCTTCTTACTTGCAATTATTCCTCCGTGTGTAAGTTAGGAGGCATATAATATAAATTGAAGCCTAATTTTTTCTTTGAAGCTATTAACACCCACCCACATGCAACAGGAAACAGACTTCAATTTTAATTAGTACCAACACATTGAAAATTCACCCTATATTTGCCTTCAAGTGCAGCAAAGCAGCTTCAAAGCTAAAAGCTTCTTCACTTTCTAAGTAATAATGAGGTATTAATGAGGCAATTAGGGGCTTGTAAACATGGTGTCAAAGAGATATGAACTAATCACCAGCAACAGGAAAAAGACAGATCCCTCTGACTTCAGTGCTCTGCACTCTCCCTAGCCCCCTGAGGCATTCTGTGCTTGTAAACTAATCCGCAAAAATGTTCTAGATTAATTCAAAACACTATCCTCCTTTTAATTCCCTGACTGTCTTCAGGCTTGTTTCTGAATAGATGCTCTGTGTGAAGGCTTTTAAATAGGCACTTTTGTTATTGCAATAAAACCCAGATTGAAGTTCTCTTGCGCTAAGCTGTCAATTTATGTTTGGCTCCCTTCTTAGATCCATATGAAATATTTCTAAATCATTTGTTAGAATACTTCTTCCAGTTTATTTCCTTCTAGTCTATATAAATAAATTTTAAAAAAGAAGCAAAACATAATTTAATTAGAACCGACAAACACCAATTTTTTTTTCCTTGCAAATGTTAGTGTTGAAACTAAATACACCAGTTACATCCTGGAGAGATGCAGATGAGGCAGGGACAGCCATTTCCCCTCGCAGATTTTTTAGCTGGGGTGTTGGACTAGGATTTGCAAGATCAGGATTCTGATCGCACTAATTTGCTGTGTGATTTTATGAGAGTCACTTTTATGACTCTCATTTCCTTGTAGAAGTACAGCTCAGATTCGCTCTAAGGAGTGCCTCACATCAACCTGCTTTCTGTTGCTGAAGTGAAAGTCACAGCAGATTTATCCAAAGTCAGGCATTAAACGTGATCCCACCTTCATGACGCGTTTTGAAGTTGTTCCTATTAGAAAATGTCTTTCCAAATAAGCCTTTCTTCTTTTTTAAGTGAAAGAGGAGAAAAAGAACTATGGGAAAAATGTTTCGGGTATTGACAGGACTCCAGGAGGTGAGGCTTCAGGAAGAGCACTTCCTAAGCTGGGAGCAAACATCTCTACTCAATCTCAGATGTGTAAGCTTCGAACCTTCATGTGACGGCTGAAGTTCTGACCTTTCTCCTTCCTTTGAATTATCTCCACAGATGGTATTGCTTCACAACCAGAAGTACTACTGATATGGGGGAGGATTTTTGGATATGGCCTGTTGTCTCCTGGAGATTGGGGTGAAACTCCATATCCTTTCTCTGCGTGATCTCATTACAGTCATCTCTCTAGGGGTGAAAAGTGAGTTCACTAAACCAGCTTATTGTGAAAAAATATTTTGAAACATAACACATTGTGGTTTGATCCTGCATTCTCACAGGTATATGTTGGAAATCACTTGATTTAAGTCAGCAACATGTGTGCTAAGCTCTCAGAAGTGAAAACAGAACGGAGGCCCTCATAGTTTTTCCTACATCAGGAATTCGATCTAATCCACAGGAAAATTGTACACAAGTTCAACAATCCAGCACTTTGCCTGATGGTGTACAATTGATTATAATTCTGGAGTTCACCCTCGATAGTCCAGTTAAAGTGGTCTCCAATATTTTGTGACAGTGATGCTTATATAGATGGTGGTGGTGAAATCACATCTGCCAATGTGAAAACCAGACCTGGCCTCTTCAGAAGTTCAGCTTATTGTCTGAATCTTCTGCAGTGTTTTATTCTGGATACGAAATACCTCTCATAGGATCTGGTTATGAATGCTTTATGTGTTGCAGTAGAGATTCCAGAGTATTCAATACTATTACAAATGGCTCACTTTTAGACATTAGATAGCAGAATTTCATCAGATATCTCCCTCATGTAAAGCAGATTTGGAAAAAAGCAGTCTTTATTAAAATCTCTGAACGGTGAAGAATCAGCTACACCCTATGTTCCTGTGCAAATTAACGATGTCTCTCTCTCACTATTCACACTGGGAAAGCTTTTGCCTGTATTTGAATATAACCAATTCTTTTTTTTTTTTTTTTCCTGGATATAAGCTTTTGTTACGGCATCACTGTCAAAGCAAAGGAGCTCTTGGGTATCCCATTGTGTTTGTGGTGGCAGTCTTTGGGGAAGATACCACCCATTCCATGCAGCATGTAAATTCTCAAACCACAAGCACGTACACTCCTGGCTTTCACCCAGACCTTTGTGCCTGGGAGCCCACAGCCATGTGATGATTTTGGTATGTGGCTTGTGGGGCTAGGAAGGTTGACACGTGTGAAGATGTTTCTAGTTCTCGTTAAGGAAACACGCATAGGCCAATGTCACAACCTTTCCAATATTTCTTTCCCATGCACAAAAGCCAGAATCTTTGACTATGTTAGGAGGAGACCACAGCTACAAACACATCATGCATCGTTACTTCCAGTCAAAGTGCCTAAAGCCTCTGTCTCCTTCTGGGAGTTTAGAGGCATTTGGGACTGGTTACCCTAAATGCAGCTGGCCAAGAAATCTCTTGTTTGGCCCAAATAGTCTCATAGAGGAGGAGAACCCTGCTGTCCTGCATGAAGCAGAGACCAAGGTGTGGGAGGGGGCAGTGAGAGCATCCTCATTTCCACGTGTGAGATGCAACAGAACTGCTTTGTTAGCTAAGAGGTCTCCAGTGCATGAGACATTACCTTCCCTTCACCTCTTTCCTTCCTCTTCCCTCGTGTTAATCCTACATAACTCTTTCTGCTTTTTCCATATTGGTGGGGATCTTAAAGACCCCTACAGTTCTGCTGGGCCTCTCCTGTTTGTGTGCAATAACACAGGATGGCTGGACCATTAACACCTTCTCTGAGCACAGCATGTTGGAGTTGCAACGCTTTCCTGCCTGGGCTCCCTTGCCAAAGTGTATTATGTATACATGCTCAATTCTTCTTTAAAAATCCCAGATAGAGTTTTCTTTTCTCTTTTCCTTGATTTTTGCGTGTGTTTTTGCCGTTGGTATCCATGGGATTTTTACTTTGTCATTCCTTAATAGAGACTGGGGTTGGTTTTATATATTGCTGTGCTTCCCTCCTCCCCCCCACCACATTGTGGTTTGTGTAAGGCTGGTGACCTAGAAGAGGAACCATCAAAGCTCAGAATCTGTTTTCATTTGGTTGGATACAGAACTTCTGCCTCTTCCCATACATCAGGAAAGTGATACTAGTCACAGGCTAGGATAGACAGAAAGCATTTGTAATGTAGCACTAGCAAGAGAAAGCAGATGCTATGAGCAGTCATGTGAGTTGCGGAGATGATAAGCCCAGAAAGAGATTGAAATTTTGCTGGTGGTCTCAGGAGTGGCAGCGCAGCCTGCGGTTGAAAGTCAGTGTGTGCAATCTTTCTTGGTGCTTGGGAGTGGCAGGTCCCAACAAGGTGAATCTGCCTGTACAGGTGAAGCTATTAACCCTGCAGCTGAACCAGGGCCCTATGTCCTGCAGGCTGCTGTTTGAGCTACAGACTGTGCGCTGGTAGTTTGGGAGGTTAGCAACAAGTCCAAGTGCAGAGCATCATCAGTGAATCTTTTGCAGGTGATGAGTCTCTCCAGGATGGTTTTCTGAGGCTCCAGAAAGAAGCAACCAGGCTGCCCTCTCAAGCAGCAGAGTTAAGAGCTTTGTTCAGTCTCTAACACAAGCTTCCCACATAGCTATACTTTGCAGTTTCTGTACTGCAGTTCCCTGGCATGGGAACGGGTTAACAGTCTGTTTAAGCTGGTCTTTGTAGACTACAAGCTTTGTGTATGCATATGCTGCGAGAGATTTGTCAGAGCGTTTCCTGGAATGGGGTGCTGATTAGCCAGAGCCTCTTGAGAGCTCATAATGGTAATCAATGTAATGATTGTAATAACTAACGATAACAAAGTCGAGAACGGCAAGAAAAAGCTTCAGACTACAGTGTTCTTTGATTTCCAGGCTTTTGAAGGGCAGCAGAAAAGAATGATTTGGGGACATAGTAAAGGAGCTCCCTCCCTTTCATAGATTTCCTCCTGGGAAAAATATTTTATTGAGAGAGGGTATGTTAGCCAAAGCAAGACATAAATATTTTACTTATTAGAGCACAGGCTGTTTCTCTTCTTGTTGGCTCCACTGCCAAGGCTGGCCTCAGACAGAAATTTGCAGTGTCCATTTCTGTACTGTGTGGTGAAGGAGTTGGGGGGCATGGAGACCCAGGCCATGGGTTGAGAGCCTGCCAAAAAAGAAAGAAAAAAACCTTCTTAGGGCAATTGTCTTGCTCATAAAATGTGACATTTGTATTTCAGCCGCCAAGTTCCCGTCTTTGTCTTCATAAACAGGGCTTTGAAGCAAAGATGTGGAAAGCCCAAGGTAGATTGAATTGGGCAAATGAACCAGGTGTCAGCAGCTGGCTTAACAACAAAACCAGTTTCACTGTGACTGCAGAACACATATTACCTCCTTTCCAGTACACACCACCCTGTGTGAATTCTCTGATATCTAACAGCATTTCAGTTGCACATGCTTTCTTTCCCTGGGAGAGCCAATAAGATGTGATTCTTTTCAGCCTCTTTTCACATTGGAGGAAAGTAGCACCACTGAACTCTCCATCTTCTTTGTGCTACTGTGAATGTGGAAGCTTCAGACAAGAGATGGATAGGATGACTGAGATGCTGAGACACTATTAAAAGTTAAAATCAGTTAAAATGCAAAGGTTAAAATCATAGGTTGATTTCCCTCCTACTAAGCTGCTTGATCATTTTAATAACTTTAAATCTGTCAAGGTAAATAAACATTCATTTATAGTTCTTACACTACAGCTTGTGAGAAGTGGCAAGGGGCATTTGCTAGAAGCACAGTTGTCTTTCTTTCTTATGATCCCTCCTTAAGCATGAACAAGTCTCTGGTTCTGAGCACGGATGGATCTTTGCTCTGACCTAGGATTATAGCACTTATGCTCTTATACTCAGCTTCTTAAGGATTCTTTTCGCATTGATAGTTTGTAGCAGATGTCCAGGAAAAAGTGTAAAGACAAGGCAGATGATATAAATACTTCCTCAGGGTGTTCTCTCTTAACCTCTGTAAAATTGTGGTTCAGAAGCTTTGAGTGAGAAGTGGTATCTGTTGTGCTTTAGTATTCCTGCAATTGACTTTTCTTCCATGTTTTTGTCTTAATTTTGATCCCATGTAAATGACTGACACGTGGCAGAGAGCTCCATAGCTTAACTGGATTTGCAGATGCATAAAGACCTATCTTCCTTCTCCTGCTCTGAACCCGCTTCCAGCTGACTCCAGCTGATGTCCTGCAGCTCTCAGCACATTGCAAGGTACTGTCTGCCCCTCATTACCCACGTAACGCTCCTTGTAGTTTTATAGACCTTGAATGTATCTGTCTTCCACCTTCAAGCATTTTAGTCTGTTTAACTGTTTCTCACACAGAATATCTCCAGTCTTTCTCATCCATACCTGTTCCAGCTTCACTATATTCTTTGATGTTCGGTGAAAAGCTGGATCATAACTGCCTCTTTCCCATTGCTGAGCCAAGGATTGTCTGGCATGTAACATCACTTGGAGCAATCCAAGTTTTGTTCCATGCTCAAATTCCTACTGCTGGGCTGAAAGGGGGCAAAAAAAGGTGATCCAGAACCAGATGTGGCTGGTTCCTGCTCAGTTCCATCAGGTTAACTCTCCAGCTGCGGTGTCTGGAAGGAGAGCAGGTTCAATTGAATTAGAAGTGGAGAAAGTTTGTTGGTGAGTTGGCAGATGAATTTTGCTTTACACCATGGAAACGGATATGGTAAAAGAAATCATTGCCAGTCAGAGTGCACTCTCTCTAGCTTTATTTGCCAGGAAGAAGATAAAGCAAAAGCCAACTTTGTTCTTGCTTAGTGAACACCTTATGAATCTGCTTAACCACATATTATTCTCAGATCTCTGAATACATTTCAAATTTAACATATTTGTTGGTTAAAATAGTTCAGAGATGACTGGTTTCTCCTAAACCCCTGGAAAATAATTTCAAAAAGCTTCTTCCAAATACTAGATTTTGTAGCCCGCTTTCTTCTCACTCAGGGAATTCATTCTGGGCACAAGGGTATCTGCTAGGGCCTTGCAGAGGGTTCTGCTCCAAACGCTGAGCATGTGTTTTAATGAAACACATCAATAGCTTTAACTACAGTGAGGGAAAATGCACTCTGTTAAATTAAGCCGTCGCAAGGCAAGCTGCAAAGCTGGAAATGTTGCACTATCAAGAAGAGACAGTTCCTTTAGTCTTCCCAGGTGAAATCCTACCCTTTTTCTAACTATATGAAACTGATGGCAAATTTCCCAGATTGCAACAGTCCAGGGTTGTTGTTATTGAGGAATGCAGGGGCTCTAATGGGCTGGACAGAGTTAACTCTGATGTCACTCAGACATTGCCATTTTTCCCAGTGTTTTCTGTGTGCAGGTCCAGGAACTCACTATTTAATTAGAATCTGACAAGGAAGAGTGCTGGTAATTGCACAAACAAATCCCATGGGTTGCCATTTAATCTCCAAGCTCAGTTTTATTTAAATTAGCTGTAAAGTTGGCAGTGAGCACAAATGGGGAACCATGAAACGAAACCTCCTCCAGTGAAAACTATGCCCACAAATGCTTCAGATTGCTGACTCTCATCAGAGAGCCCAGGGAGGAGAGAAAATAAAACCACAAACAGTGAGATCCAATTATGATTTTTCTCCTTTGTTCTTCTACCATCTGGAAATGACTGTTTTATGTTCTAGACCTGGATGTGCTATCACTCTGCAGCTACATAGTCTGCATTGAGAAAACGCTAAGGTTTCACTATATGGTACAGAGGTGCTTTCCCAGTTCTGTGCCCAGGATTTCTCTGTCCATTCAGTCATAATGACAGATTGTGCTACTTACTCATGTAGAATCAGTTTCAAAACACAGATGAAGCCAGTTCATATTCTCTCCAGATTCCTCCAAAGACCTGAGTCTAACCTCAGCTTATTTGAAGAGGTAGGATCTGAGGGCTTTTCCCCTGTGGCATTTTACATGTACAGCCAAACTGAATGCTTAATAAAATGAAAACATTTAGCCCAGTTTATCTGCTCATAACTTGTGGGCTGTCACATGCTGCGTGTCCCTCATCTCAGAGTGAGCCCAGAAATAGACTGCAGTCAGGCTGTACTCAGAGTTCTGTGTTTAGAAGGAACAAGCATTGCTCTAGTCCAGCTTTTGGGAAGTATTTCTGCCTTGCAAATAGCAGGGACAACTTGCTCACTTAATCAAGCCCTGAACTTGGGCTGCATTAAACCTAGAGTTTTTCAGGTTAAGTAGGATTCAGGTAAACACAAAAGCTAAAAGAGCTGCTTCTCTGGCAGCTTTCAGCCAAATTTTAGTTTGAAGAAAAACTTGTCATCTCCAGGCTTTTTATTTCAAGCCAGCAGTCATTCAAGTAGGACTAAAGATACTCCCAATTAATACGATAATGTGTATTTTCTGATTTTATGTACAGAGATTTTCGTCAGTAAATCTGAAAGAACATCTTGCAGATGAGGGGAAAATGAGGGCACAGAAGTACAATGAATTGTCTGAAGTCACACACCAAATAAATGTCAGAACTGGACTCAGGATTTTGGGAAGTGTTTTATCCACCACACAAAGCTCTCTGTTACTGCTGCTGAAGATGATGATAGCATTTGTGTTAGACAAGTCAAAAAGAACAATCATTCTATTCAGCTCTATACTACAAGCAAATGTGTATTCAAAACAGAGCCAAAGTCTGGCTGTTAATTCCTTGTTCCCAGCCCACCGGATGTTGCTGTGTTATGAAGATGCCTATATTAATTTCTCCATCAGGAAAAGCAATAAAACCATTCTAATCATCAAAGATGTTGCTATTGTAGTTCCCAAAGCTATTTCCATGATATGATTTTTTCTTTTCCTCTGGAGAGGTCTTGGTGGAACCCACAGAAGTCTTGTGGCATGAACTGGATCAAAGATCTCCGCAAGTGCCTTCTAGTCTAAATTATTCTCCGATTTTACAGCTTGTGGATCATCAAATAAGGCTCTGTGGAAGAGGTCCTGCAACAGAATTTGCTTGTTTGGAAATTGTAAAGTCTTCAGGGCCGAGGTTTACTTTCCAGCAATGTGACTGCCAGAAACTGGGCTAGGGACAGCTCACAATGCTGGCTTTTTCAAAGGTTTTTTTTTTTTCTTTTTTCCCCAGAATCCTTTGCAATCGTTAGCACTCTTTTTTCATACTTAATTTGCAGGCTGTTTACACAGTGCAAAAGTGGTGGGTGAGCTCATGTCATTCCCACACCAGGTTTCAGAATGAGAAAGCGATGTGTTACATCATGTCCCTGTGGCTTTGACCAAAGCAGCAGTCTCTAACACATGTAAATTCAGATATCCCGTGGTATGAAATGACTAAAAAAAATGTGGTTTGTGGCAGATTTTCCATGTAGTATCTCATAAGGATCAATAGGACTGTAGGGACAAAGAACAAAGGGCAGGAGTTGAAAGACAGTTGAAAAATTCTGTGTCTTTCATGTGGCCTCACCTATGAACACAGATAACGTTGAGAGAAAAATAAAGAAAAACAGACAATTCTCAGAGTGTTGTTTCTTATGGCTTCCATGATACCTTATCTCTACCAGTACATTAAAGACATCCTGGACTCTAGCACTTTCTCCTTGCTGCATTCCTGTGTAGGAGCTCTGTGATACCCTGACTGCTTTACAAATGAAACACTGCAGGGTTAAGGCCTGCCTTGGGGTCATATGGAGAGCTGTTGTGGAACAGAGAGTTAAAAAAAGGTCTCCCAAATACCAAAGAGTGTTTTAACCACTTTTGCTTCTCTACCAAGCTTTCTTCAGCACATAGAGTGAATTTGAACTTAATGTTGAGATAGACATTTGCATCTCAGGAACTGTGTGAAGTAAGAAAGTAGAGTTCTTTCAGAAGAGTCTTTCCCTGGTGAGTAGTTACTCTTTCAATCCTGCTGACTTCCAAAAGCCTTTGGTGTCAAGAGTGGCTCAGCCTTGGCCTTTCTCCATAAGCAGTCTCATCAGTCAAGACAACTATTGAAATCAAAATACTCTGGAGAGTGAGTCAGGGGATCAGAATCTGGCCCAAGAAAAGAGAAGACGAGTGTCAGCGCTTGTCATGGAAACTCTTCCGAACACCTCTAGCAATTTAAGAGAAGTCTACAGAAATGCCAGCAAAACATTTCACTGGTTTCCATTAAACAGTTATCACAGATCCTGCTTGCAAACAGATCCATTTCTTAATATATAAAGCAGTTTAGCTGTAGACATTATGTATTTAAAAAAAACAAATCTGTGAGTTCAGGAGCTCCAGAGCAAAGCAATAAATTCTCATTTGAACCATTAAAATTTTTGTTAGGCAGCATCATAGTGTGAACATCACCTTGTCTTCCAACAGTAGATTAGTCCCCCCAGCCCTCCTATGCTCTTCAGGTCACTAATGATCTATTCAACTCTCAGAAAATAAACTGTAAGGCACTCCTCAACTAGGAACTTCCATACCCTATCCAGGCACATTAATACCTTTATTCCCATTTTATAGTTATAACACAGGTCAAAATGGAAATAAAATTCTAGTTTCATTAATCTAATTGGACAGCGAGGTGGATTAATGGATTAAACTAACAAATGGAGATAACAGACTTTTCAGCTGTTTTGGACTTGTGACATGAGTTCATTCTAACATGGCTTAACCCTGTAAGCCACATCTTTACCACCTTGCTCTCCTCTGAGCTGATGGTTCTCTGACATCCTGCAATGCCATCCTGGGATAGCTCTGCTAATTCCTATGCCAAAATATTAGCTGCCAGCCTTTACCCTCTGCAAGTTACTGGGTCTGAGCCAAGAATCCATCAGCCTGAGAGAAGCAAAATCAGATGGTGCAAACCTGATTACAGGCTGTTACCAGCCCTCCTGCTGGTCATTTCTCAGCATACTCAGTGCACTGACAGATTGTTCTCCTGCCAGTTCATCAGTTGACTACATTAATAAGTACTTATAAAAATAAGCTTCATCTTAGCCTGAAGGTCTGCAAGTGATGGAAAAGAACCCTGAGAAAGAAAGACATACAGGAAGTGGTATTAGCTTGGTTCTTTGTTGCTAAAGCAGAGGTAGCTGAGACCCTGCTGGAAAGCTTTATACTCCACAGGAGTCACAAGCAACGAGTGAGGCTGTGTTGTGTGATCTAAGTTAAATCTCTCCATCTCTGATTTTTCTCTAATTCTGGCAGCTGTATCCAAGATGAGAAGTGTCACACACTACACAGCTCTCCATTTGCCTTCTAAGATCTCTGCTACAACAGAAAGGAGGATATCAGTCTCAATTTCCCTCCTGTTCCTGGTGCAGAGTTGAGAACGGGAGCCAGAATATGGTAGGAATCAACTCTTTGTGGGGCCTTGGAAGAAAAGACATGCCACTTTGTCAACTTATCAGAATTTGTGGTGGAAATGACCTATTAAACCTCTTTGCTCTTCCCACTGTCATCGCTCTGGATTCTTCCTTTCAGTAGATCTATTAATGCTTTGTCAAAAGGCAGAAATACAACTTTGACATAAAAAGCTGCTGTTTACAGTTGATGGAAAGCTTACATTAGACTGGGCCACCTGAACCCCCTCACCCAACATAAACAGAATCTATCAACACTGCTTAAGCCATTAACCCTGACAACTGAGGCTTTCCAGGGAGAGCCCTTATCAAAAGGGGGCTGCAAATGAAACCCAACGAGAAAAACCCTCATTGCCCCAAATGGATTCAAATGAGAAGATGCGGATGAGCCTTGTTAGGCTCACGCTAATCCCTTTGACAAGCCAGGAATTCCATCAAGTTGGAACACAAATCCTTCAGGAATTTGACTCTTCAGCTTCCTCTATTCTCCATTGCAATGACAATTACAATTTTTAAAAGATCATTATCTGATCAAATGGGATAGAGATGTTTGGAGTTGAGCATCTGAGTTATTAGTGGAGAGAGGCTCTCCCATACTCAGTGAAGCCCGTCGAGAAAAAGCTCCCCTGAGAACTACAAGGTTTGTGACCCTTCTCTCATATTTGTCCGGACACCGATAATTTCATGGAGATGACCTGAGAGCAGGCTGTCTGAGCAAAGCCACATGGAAAATATCTCCTGAAACTTATCCTTCTGACAAGTATTTATAGAAAATAGTAGGGCAAAGAGAAGTATCCTATAAAGAAGGAGGTTCTTATGGGATTTCCAGATGTGATCAAACTCTTGTTACTTCAAACATTTGGCCTGTTTTGAGACTGAAGACAGAGAAAAACATTGTCCAGAATGCTGACTTTGGATCTCCAAATTGAGATTGCATGAAAAAGGCTGAAAATTAAAGACAACAAACTAAGGATATGCATAATCAAAGAATATTAGGATGTTATAAACACAAAATAAACAAGAGAGTTAGGCAAAACAGACTATGATAACAAAAGAGGATAAACAGAAGGTTTACCCCTATCCTGGGCTCACTCACAAAGCACCAGCAGAGGCAATCTCCAGAAAAGATCCTTCCCCACTCGTAGCCAGCTCTTAAATAGGTCTAGGAGTGTGCAGCCTGGCTCCACCCCTTCTGGCAGCACAGGTGAATTGCCTTCACCTGTGCTCCTCTAGCTGGCTCATTGCTCTCTTCAGGTGATCAATCAGAGGTTCAGGCTGTGACTCAGTAGTTCCCATACAGGATAATACAAACTTTTTCAACTTTATGATGAGTTTTTAATTGTATCTGTACAGAATTTCTCTAGTATTCAAGGAAAAGAAAATCCTTTCACATTCCAAACACAGAAGTCTTTCTCCTCTTCATTCCCTCTGTTGTGTTGAGAATGATTCAAAAGTAAGTGGTAAATAAAGGGGAAGCACTAGATCATATATCAAATATCACAAGCAGTTGTTTAGGTGCATGTGAACTTGCTTTATGAACTATCTTTCTCATTTGTTTTCCCAAAGGAAATCCAGCACACATCTACCTCCACCTGCTGGAAGAAAATTAAAAATGTTAAAGATTATGATTTTGAAACTCCAAACTAATGATCATATACAAATTTTATGAAGCTTGGGAAGGGAAAAAAATCTAGTATTTTTATAGTGAAGGGAAGCTTTACTAAATCCAAACTTTATAGATCTTGCAAGTCTTCGCTATGTGGTAACAGTTAAATATTTAGTACTGGAGAGAGAGGGGAGACTTCTACTGAGTACATTTTTGACCGCCTTTTTCACACGTTGGATAGATATTTAGGGAACAGTATTGTCCTCACTAGAGAGTGGTAGAAATCCAATGGAATTTAGCTCAAGGCAGAACCAGGCCATTGGTATGTGAACTGTGAAAAGCAGCTGAGACTTTTACTCTCTGCAGATGGTAAATTCACAGACATTAAGGACAGAAATGTTCTTTTTTTAATGCCTTGACTGCTGGCTGCAAAAATGCAATGTGCTTAAATCACAGAGTAATCTTTTTTATCTGAATATGAAATCCAAAAAAATTGCCTTTTGTAGTTTTAAAGAAGGTTGGAATTTTCATGCTTTTTAAAAAGCTTTTATGGTAGTTGCATCAGGTTGGTCACAAGGAAGGACTCTTCATGATACTTAGGACGATTCAGTTTTGAATCCATGTTTTACCACTAATTCCCACTGTGATGGTGGTGGTGGCTGTAAGCATTGTGTGAGATGAGATCAGTGACTCTTAGAACATCTTTTTCTCCTAGTTTTTCCACAGGCTTTTGAACTGATTTGAATTGACACAGAATGGCAAAGGCCAGTTATCCATATGATGCCTGAACTAGTTCAAAAGAGATTTGCTAGCACTGTCCTCAAAATTAGGGTTTTACAACACCAAGGGCATGTTTTACACCTTCTGGATTTGTTTTGAGAAAGGTAGGTGAGAAAGGTAGGCAGTCTGGAATACCTAAATTGGTAAGAACGGGGATTATCACTGTTATTTAATTTTGTTTTATATTGACAATATCCCTTTCTTGTTAACCCCAGGAATAACAAAATAAGGATCCCAAGGGAGAAGGGAAGGGGTTAACAGTATAACAGAGATGCCAAGTGTCATTTTCAGATCTTACCTCTGCTCTCTGCAGACCTTTCCATGCATATTACAAGGGGAATGCTACATTTTTACACAAAGCATCCATGAGTCATTGACATTTTCTTCATCTTTCATTCTTTCTTCATCCCAAGAGGAAGCATGGAGAAATCAGAAACCTGACAGATCCTCCTAAATCTAAGGACTCCCACTAGATGGCTGGTCCACAAGCACAGTGTCCTACCACAGACACTGAGCAATTCAGAAGACAAAGACAATGGAATACCAATATTTTATTGCTGCCATATTCCACTCTGCTTTGTTCTTCCCAATCAGTTAAACAACTCATCTGTCAAAACTGGTGCCTGTGAGCTTAGGTGAGCTTGAGGATCCATTTGAAACTGAGGTTTAAAAATAGTAGAGAGAAAGTGTGCATACTATTTTTTTCTCACAATTCTCCAGAGAATCTTCTGCAAGCCAAAGTGTGTTTTCTATTATGGTTTACATCAACAAGCTGATCTTAGGGACTTCTGTCTGTGTGTGTTTCTGTAACTGATTTTGTGTGAGTGTGTGTGCCTGTGTCTATCATGGCCCTTGTTTCCTCTGGAGAAAGGAGACAGTAAAACCCACTTGAAAATTTATACGCGCAGTGTCAGGAGCCCAGAGCATTCATCTGAAGACGCTCCTGCTGTGTTGGGTAGAATGCCCAGAAATTTTCAGAGCTGTGTTAACCACAATTCTTAGCTTCCACGTTGTGTCTGATACCATATTTGGAAGCTGTGAGTCCTTTGCCCCATGTGGCTGACTCAGAATTTGCATTTACTTGATACCAGCATTGATTTCCCATCCCTTTGGGAAGCTATAATGGATGGCGTGGCCACAGAAAGTTCAGCAGGACAGGCAGAGAGTGTTAGTGAGCTCAGAGGAGAAGTACTGAATGTCAGCCAGTGGCTGCTCAGATGTCCGTGATGCAGATTCAAATGCTGAAGTCTGACAGACACATGACCCATGAGTTGCAATGCATTGTTAAAGAAATAAAATCTACCCACATTTTTCATACTTACTGTGACATATTGGCACTGGCAGCCTCATGCTGGGCCTACCCTAATCACTTGCCAGCATAAGTTAAGAATGTGATTTCACTTTTAAAGATACTTCTAGACTAGCAAAAGCCTTCTTTGAGGGAGTGGCTGACTTTCCTAACCCTGTCTGCCTTACAGCGAAATCTTCCTGAGGCCAAGAGCAACAAGACTCAAAGTAGATCTCTCAGAAAATAGGATTGCTTCTGAGCAAGAAACAGTGGCTCCCTGCAGAACCCCACTGGGGAGCATCTTGAAGTAGCCTGTCTTTTCCAGACTCAGCTGTCCCTGCTGGCTCATTTCCTGCCACAGCTCAGAATTTGGATTACACAGGAGCTCACATGGAAAGCTGCATTTGGACTGCTTCCATCACAGAAGCAGCTTGAATCACTGGATACCATCCTTGTCTTGAGACAGGACTATCAGAAAGCTTCTACCAGGTCTGGATGGGGAGTTATTTCTTTCAGAGTAGAAGTTAATAGTTATGTTCATGCTGAAGAGAGTTTGCCAGTGTGATAATACTAATTGTAACTACACCAGAAATGTTTTCCAGGGTAGGTTAAGTGAATAATGGAGATGAAACTGCTACTTTGGTTGCCAATGGGGCTTGCCAGCAGCTATCACTTAGCTCATGCCATTATGCTTCCTTTCAGCACTTCTTAAGGTTTATCTATGCTGGTGGGTACAGAGATGCTGGGGGAGAGATGTCACATATTGCAAGGAGACCAGAGCTGCTTGGATGTGAACCTTGGGAAAAGTGATGTACCACAAAGGTACCTGCTTAATAAATGGAAAAGATGTCATACATATTACTGTGTTCTCTGAGGAAAATAATTTCTACTCTTGCGATGAATTTGAGTTGTTTGAGTCATCAGGAGATTTGCAGCAACTTGGAGATGTATTTAGGTTTCTATGCGTTTTTTTTGAGAAGGAAGGGAAAGTGTTGTGAATCCTCTAATCATACATCGATGAGCTGACTTTGTGGATTTCCTGAAGGGAAGAGACTTTTTTATCTGTTTCCAAGAAGATAGGAGTTCCTTCCCATCCCAAAACAACAAATGTAGGTGAGCCAAGACTTTCTCCTGGTTTCCATAATGCACTGCCAATTGTTTGTGTGCCTGTGGGGTTGTCTACTGCCTCTGGAGCTATTTGGGCTGAATCTCTGCACTGTGTTCCCAGTGCTGACATGCAAAATAGTGTTGCACCCCAAATGCTAACATGGATAGAATTTACAGACTTTGACACACTTACTGGCAGTAAGACCTCAGAACCAGATTCTAGTCATAGCCCTCTCATCAGCAGAAGACTAATCTCCTTGCTAGTCATTTAGCACAAATGTGAACAAGGAAAGGAAGTTGAAGTACACAAAGGACCAGGACCTCCTGGAAAGCAAAGCATCCTGACTGATCTCTGAAAATGCAAAGGACTGAAGAAGCTCTTGGGACTGTGTTTCTGTGTCTTACATTTGATGGACATTTCTGTGTTGTTCAGCAGATTCGTCTACTGCATTCCATTGACTCCAAACCAGAAGCCAGGATCTTATCATTTTGGTTGAAATCCAAGTATTGAACAACTATTGAGCTTCATGAGATACCTCTAAACAATTTTCAAGAATGTGATCAGAAAATCCTACTGTCCATACTCCTCCCACTTGGCATGTATTGCTCTTCTGCCTGTGCTGCTGAACGCAGAGGGCAGCTTGTCTGGGTCATAACAAAGTGACCTGGTGAAGAAAGGTTCTCCTGCTGTTGGATGTTCAGAAAAGATCCACATCTGGAAAGCTTTCAAGAATAATTAAATCAACTAATCTAAGCTGCACATAAATATGTGACTTGGAGAGGCAAGCTAAGAAATGTCTCCCATTGAGTTCCCATGAAATAAATGTATTTCATGGGAAACTGAAGCAGGGGGAATTCTGCCATAGCTGTGATGACCCACAACAGAGATTTCACCCACACTGCAATTTGTGTTTGCATTACTGGAAGCCTCAAAACCCAGTGTTCTGGAGAAAAACTAACTCTTCAGGTGCCACGTGATAAAGGTAGTGTGTCTCTGCTCAAGAGATAAAGCAGATACAGTTGATGAAATAAACTTTATTTGTTTTCTCATCATACAAGGCACCAGCTTCAGTCTGTCAGTCTATTATCAAAGATTTTACAGGTATTACAGCTTTGAAGGAAAAGTCACATAATCTAGATGATCTTTAAGGTCCCCTAGATAATCTTTGAGTTCCCTTTCAACCTAATCCATTCTATGATTCTATGATGTTACCACATTCCTCATGGGGCCTTTCCAACTCAGGCTATTCTGTGGTTCTATGACCTATAGTTTTATGGAAGTGTTCTCCCTAGCACAGTGACAGCATTCAGAAAATTTAAAGTCTATGAACA